TTTTGTGACACATGTCAAGCATTAAATAATGTTAACTTATATTACTCTGACATATCTGATTTCTCATGTAATTTAATATAAGAAAAACTAAACAAATTTTTTTATCATAACCCCTCTACAAGCACACATACAAATATATTTGTGCATAAATGACAATTTTATTTTTATAGCAAAACATGACATATTCAAATGAATGAAAACATCTTTGTTCATGTAAGTCTAAGTCAGAGATTTCAGCCCAGAGAAAAATGATCTTTACTTGTATATCTCTAATAAAATTCAAAAATTAATGTATCTTATGAATTCATTTGACCGACATGTGAGCCTGTTAGATTTAAATGAACATGCTCCAATTCATTCAAAATAAGCAAGGTCACATTAAGGAAAATATCCTCACTTCATATAATCCAAACAGAGTTAGAAACGTTTTTTTTGTTTTTGTTTTTTTTACCTGGGGGATGAATATATGATACTCAATATATGGGAAAGTTTAAGAAATAACTTTGTCAATTTTGTATCTGTACACATTTAAACTGTAAACATTTCTAAGCCTCTCATTATATAAAACTCAGTGTTCCTTCTTAAACTTCAAAATATATAAATTCTTTCAGAGAAAATTTAAAAGATTTTAGTTAGCAATCTGATTTTTCCCAAGTTTCATAAAATTTTGATGTTTAAAAATGTATACTAGAGTTTACTCAGATTTTGCATATATTATGCTATCCTAAAAACAATGTCAAATCACAAACAATACATTTAACTGACAGTTCATTTTATTTTTTCATATAAGAATGAATCACATTTGCATGAAAGGTTTCCTACAAGATCCACAGCTCTCCCTGTGGCTTGCTCATATGTTTTCAAATGGCATTGCACCTGTTTTTATAGAAACATCTTTGATGCCTAGAGTATCCAATGTGTCAGGGCATTGTCAGAGAAATAGCGCATGACAAATAGCTTAAATGGATGTAATGAGATATGCTCCATGACTGAGCACCCAGCACAGTAACCAGATAGTTCTCAGATGAGACATGCCTCTGCATGACCAATGTGCCTTCCAGACTTTGCCAATCTGATGTGCCCTTTGGCCATCTGGATTATCGCTTGGATTTCTCACACACCTCAGTGAGAACTTGTCTATTCCATCTCCTGATCTGTTCACACTTTGAGGAAAAGTTCAAACATCTGACTCTAAGATTCTCAATTTTCCCTCATGCATGCCTGAATGAGTAGGGTAAGTCATGAATTCCAAAAACCTTTTTTGATTATTGGTTTAATATCAATTAATTTTTTTCACAAACATTTCACAATTTTGTGTTTTCATGCACCTTCAAATTACATTAGTTAACTTTTTTTTTAACTACAATTGTATTCCAGAGTGGTATTTATTGTTGAAATTTTCATTTGTAGCAATCCCAGAAGCACCATTAAGAGAAATTCATGAACATAATTAAGGAAAAATCCTTTTAAATGCTGACACTTTTATGGCCATTAGGTTTGGCATGGCTTATTCAATAGGATAGTTATTCTTTTCAATTAATAAATCGATTCAGAAAACTTTTTGGTTAAGTATTTTTAGTGAAGCTGATATTCTCTCTCTAGTATAAAGAGGTGACTCCAGAGACCTCATAGACCAGATAGACTGAAGCAGAAACCTCACTCTCAAGTGGAAGCGAATGAGTAAGGATAGCTCTGGACTGTGGCATCACTGGGTACCGCTGATCTGCTTTGGCTGGTGCTCAGCTTAAATGTTTCTTCCTCTGGAGGTTGTCTCTGAACTTCCCAAGCCCATTTAGCTTCTTTGTTATATTTTGCTTATGGCATTTTTATTTATAGCACCCTTATATCACCTCAAATACATGTAGCTTTCTCTTTTATTTTAGGATCAGAGCCCTTAGACTTAAAGGGATGTGGGTTTTATATCTGTATCTTCAATTTCATATATCTGGCACAGAGTACAATAAATGTATGCTGGTTAAATAATAATAATATTCTTGAAGCATATGACTTGGAGTTCCCTGCTACAAAAACGAATTTGTACGAAGCATTCAGGTTTTGAGTCTGATCAACGAGGGTGCGCATAGATGTGGCTTCTGGGTAACAAAGACTTGGAAAGAAGGCACCTGTGTTTCTGATTATCACCTTGTGACCCATGTTCCAACTCAAGGAAAGATGAAATTAGCATTGCCCACGGAAAGAATGATAAAGTTGAGAGTAAAGGTGTTCAGAACTCATTAAAGCAGAACTGGCACTGATTATTTTCCGGCACCAAAATATACCTTCGTGATTTAAGCTATGCCGACATCTCTGCTTCCCAACTGAATTGATACCTAGAGATGCCTTGTTACTGGGATGCTGTCACCTTCAATGGAAGAACTTTTCTTTATGTGAATTCTAAAATCTCAAGTTAAATATGAAAATATTTGTTTTCAAAGCATCAAAAATAATTTTACATATTCAGTTAGAGCAACCTGTGAGCGTAAATAGTGTCTAGAACCAGTGAGATCAGCAAAAACAGTTTATTTACTAACCTGTATAACATTACAAACAATCCTTCATTAGTCGCCACTATCTATATGCATATGTCCTCCCTTCAACTCCGACTTGCTGCCCATCCGCTTTCCTCCATGGCAATCTCTACTTCTGGAGTCAATATTCACACACAGAGAACCCATCGCCTATAAGGCGTTACAGCAAGATTCACTATGTTCTTAGCCTTGAGTTGCATATAGATGATCTACATAATATTTGTTTTGTACTTTTTACCAACTGGTTAGTCCACTATTTTAAATTTTTAATAGACCTCTTAATACATACCTTGGTTCTTTAGCAAATTATTATGCTATAAGGTGCCAGTGTCCTCGGGACTAGAGGTCCTAAAGAAAAGTTAATTATCACTTTCAGCAGTGATAATTAACATTGATGTAGCAATTTCTGTTTACTATAACCATGGCCACCCACTTGTGGGATCTGAAGCTACCCATCCCCACGCACCACCCATGAGCTATCTCCTGCATCTGCAGTTACTGTGCTACATAAACTGAACTGAAGCCTCTATCCTCAAAGCCTGCAATCACCACAGTCCAGGGGGCAAATTTCCCTATCCACTATGGCCTGTAGCCATCATCCTCAAAGTGACTGTTGATGCTGGAACCTCCGTTGCTGCTCATCCTTACCATCATCAGTAAATGAGGAAAGTATCAACCAACCACGTGTCCTTCTCAACATACTGGTATATTCTACTGCTTGATCATGACCATAAATTTCTGTACTTCCTAGCCCATATGACTACAACTTCCTTTCCATGTCAACAACTTCTTTCATTACTCCCATGATGACTACTCATTGAGATAAAATACCCTTTCTTCACTTCTTTCCACGCCCACCTTACATTCCAGAAAGCTTCATTTGAATATTATCCTCAATTTCATTGCCCTTAGGAGTTTTCATCACCTCAATTTAAAAAATCCAAACCTGCAGGAGTTAAGCTGTGTTGTCTGCTTTTTCTATAATCTAATACTGAGATAATAGAGCACTAATAAATATAATCACACAACAGAGAGATTCAATTCCAATTTAAATATGCAATCACTAATCACTAATTAACCCTAAAACTTCCAGCAATACAACTACTAAATTGACATCTCCCAGATATAACAAAGGCATCCAGAACTCAACATTTCCGAACTTAATCTAGGAAACATTTCTCATAAATTTTTTCCTTTCCCAGTATTGTTTTTCAGTAGATGGGCCCACATTTTATCTAAATATGAAAACTATAAACCCTGCAGTCATCCTAGGAATTTTCTTTTTCTAACCTGCAACCTCAATTTGTCTCAACTACTTGTTGATATCATGTTTTAAATATCTATCATTTCTATCCTATATCTTGCTTGCCATTGGTATTAAGAAACTTGCAATTTTATAGTTATCAGTAATATTACCTGATTATCATCTGTAAGTTTACTAGACTATACGCCCCATTGAACTAGGATTTTTTAGTCCATTTTTACTCATTATTTTATCTCTAGCATTTTGCAGTTTTTCTTTACTTACAATGATCACTAGATAAATATTTTCTGAATAAATAGGTGAACGAATAAATGAATACAAGTAAATGTATGTATCACAATAAACATATTATGTATGAAGCAAGTATTCATATCCTTACCATGTAAGAGAAAATCGGAAGCTTAACAAACATCAATTAAGCAGAGAATTATGAGTTTGGAAGTAAACTTAGGTCATCTCCATTTAACTAACTTCAACTCTTAAGGATCTTTCCATTTTAGCACCATGATGCATATCAACCTCATGCAAAACCTTTTTTTCCATTGTATTTTTAATTTAGACTCAGAAAATTGTGACCCATTCTTAATGTAATTATCTATGGATATAGAGAATAATTCCCGTGGAAGACATTCTAATGCTTTTAAAAACACACCATTCACTGCAAGTACTTTCAAAAGAAATATTTTAATTTTGTAAAATGAAAAGTTTCTATAGTCCATACTCACAATTAAGATTGGTACCAAAATGTTTCCAAAGCAATCGTCATGTGAAAGGAAAAGGAATTAGAGCAGAAAATAACAAAAGTGACACTTTTAAACCATCACAGTTATTCTCTATCTTTTATTGAGTGTTTGCCATCTTGTAAACATTGTGCTAAGCAATTTATACACGCAGTAAAAGAGGAACGATTATTATCCCTATTTTACGGATAAGAAAATTGAGAATTAGAGCAAACAATCAAAGCCAGGAGCCAAATCTAACTTCTGTAGGATTCCAGAGCTGCACTTAACATTAAATTGACTTCCCAATAAGTAGTTAAGCCTTTCATTTTGAGCCATTACTTAGTGAAAAATAGACAAAAACATTTTTTTCTACTAATAGCATCTGATAGTGAAACATTTCAACTATAATTAGATGGAAAAGGAGAACAAAAACATTTCAAACTTCACATTTTCCCAGATTTTTAAGAAGCAAATGTTTATTCTTACCCATGAATTCAATCCCCAAGTGGTCTGCTACACAGAAGTCAGCATGTAAGAAAGGGAAACAGAAAAAGAAATGATGATTAGAAAAAATTCCACATGGAAATCAATGTGTATCAGATTCCCATTTTTAAGGGGAAAAAATGTGTCTCAATTTTAACTGCATATTTTTTGGGGAAAGATAATTTATAATTGCTCACAATAAGGGGTGCTCTGAACATGATTCATATTTCCCCAAAGCCTGAAACTTTAGTTGGAATAATATTGCATCTGTTACCAAGTATGCGAAGCATAAAGTTAGGCCTCAAGAAAGAAAGAAATGTTCACACACAAAATATCTGGTACTAAATTGATTTTTAGAAATCATGGTATTTTATGTAAAACTTGAGGCCTGGTGCATGAAAATTCATGCACTTGGGGGGGTCCCTCAGCCCAACCTGCGCCCTCTCACAGTCGGACATCTTTAGCACTGCCAAGGAGGCAGGAGAAGCTCCTGCCACCGCTACTGCACTCACAACCTTCAGCTCTGCTTGTGGCTGAGTGGAGCTCCCCCTGTGGGAGTGCACTGACTATCAGGGGGCAGCTCCTGCATTAAGCGTCTGCCCCCTGGTGGTCAGTTTGCATCAAAGCAACCGGTCATCCTGGTAGTTCCACCATTAGGGTCAATTTGCATATTACCCTTTTATTATTAGAATGACTACTTGTTTAACATATACTTAGTGTACTCTCTGCTATAAGTGGAGAGCTTTTATATGATTGGCCTTCACCATGTGCTGATACCTTCACAAAAAATCAATAATGTTGTATTTTTTCCTGTTATTTGTTAGATGAGAAAACTGCACTTCAGCAAGATTAAAAATCTTACATTGGCCCCAAAAGATGAGGTAGATCTAGGGCATAAATCCAGTCAATCTGACCCCCAAGCCCTCTGACTGTTAAGCTCTGCCACTTCCTACCAAAAATGAATGACTATGTACCATGTACATGTGGGCTACCCACTGTTTTACCAGCTAATGTCTGCCTGTGATCAGCAGAGTGATAAACTGAGCCCAGCTATGCCCAGGTGTTCGGCCTTAGATGTCTTATCATCTAGATCAGTGGTTCTCAACCTGTGGGTCGCCTAAGACCACGGAAAACACATATATAATTACATATTGTTTTTGTGATTAATCACTATGCTTTAATTATGTTCAATTTAAAACAATGAAATTGGGGTCACCACAACATGAGGAACTGTATTAAAGGGTCGCGGCATTAGGAAGGTTGAGAACCACTGATCTAGATGGTGCCTCATTTAATCATTCAATTATTCACTCATTCACATTATTATTATTATTATTATTATTATTATTATTATTATGTGTCTTCTTAGTCTACTATGCCATGGCTTTGATTCCTTTCACTTCTCTCTCCATCTCTGGCCACTCTCCAGGCGTCTGTCCCCCTCTGGGCCTCAGTCCCTCTCTCAGTCTCCCTCCACCCACCTCTGTTCCTTCCTCCAGGTGTGTCTCTCACTTCTCTGTCTCAGCCTCTCATTCCCCGTATCTCCCCTGAGGCTGCTGCTAGCTACCATCCAGACCCGAAATCCACATCTGCTGAGAAGTCTCCTCCCCAAGGACATCCTCATCTCATTTACCTTTCCCACCGCCACCACCGCCACCGTCACCTTGCAGCTGCTGCCCTGACCTCAGTTTCCCCGGACTCCCTCCTGTCTCAGTAAAGATTGGAGGCTCTTCTCACTGCACAGCCTGGTTACCTTTCCACTCCTTCACTTTTTAAATTCATTTCATTAATGATGATTTCTGTTGCAGCAATATGTTACATAAATGAGAATAAATGAAAAAAGTATGGCTACCATTGTATTTGTTTCTAAGACTGATTACTGAGCTCCTTTTTATGAATTCTTTATTTAGCAAAGCAGTTTTCCTTTTTAGAAAATATGTATTTAGTTACCTTGAATAATTCAGTGTGTTTCCTATTTGTAAATAATTCATTTTTAATTTCATTGTGGTAGAATATATATAAACTACAAATTGTCATCTTAACCATTTTAAGTGTACAGTTCAGCGTCATTAACTGCATTCACAATGTGGGCAAACATCACCACTATATTTCCAAAACTCTTCCATAACCCCAAAGAGAAACTGTACCCACTGAGCAATAATTTTGTATTTTCCCCTTTCTGCAGCCTCTGGTAATTTCTAATCTACTACTCTCTGTCTCTACGAATTTGCCTGTATATAGTTCATTTTTTCATTGATTAGTACCTATTTTAATTGAGGATGACTCATACAAAAAAGATGATAATGGAATTTTTAAAAAGTAGATATATTACTTTCTTTACATGCCTTTTATTTTGACTGCTTAATATATACCCATAGATATTTAGCACACTTTCATGAAAAGACAAGATTTTTGTTCTCCAGTAATTCAGAAATCAGTGGGAGCTCACAGAGAAAAGACTTTGGTAATTGTTAGTAACAGTGCTATAGTGGAAAAGCAAAAAATGTATATTAGATGGAGGGGCCTAAAGTGCTCTGTGAAAGAATGGAGATTGTAGAAAAGTTGGCAAGCTTATGTTTCAATTCTAATGTGAATAAGAATCTTCATTCTTTTAAAAAATATTTTAAATTGATTTTTAGAGAGAGAGGATGGGAGAGGGAGAGATGGAAAAACATGAATGTGAGATGTGAGAGGGGAACATTAATCAGCTGCCTCCTGCACATTACCTCCTGGGGGGATTAAGCCAAAAACCTGAGCATGTGCCCTGACCAGGAATTGAACTGGCAACTTTTCAGTGCCTGGGACCATGCTCAGCCAACTAAGCCGCTCAGCCAACTAAGCCACTCAGCCAGGGCAGAAGCTTCATTCTTAATTTTTTGAGGAGTCTCCATACTGTTTTCCATAGTGGCTGTTCAACTTTACATTCCCATCAGCATGAAAGAATAAGGGCTCCTTTTTCTCTACAACCTCTCCAACACTTGTTATTACTTGTGTTGCTGATAATAGCCATTCTAACAGGTGTGAGGTGATATCTCCTTGTAGTTTTGATTTGCATTTCCCTAATATCTAGTATAGTTGAGCATCTTTTCATGTATCTGTTGGCTATTTGTATATCTTCCTAAGATAGGTATTTGTTCAGGCTCTCTGCCCATTTTTCTTATTGGATTGTTTATTTAGTGTTGAGTTTATACATTTTGCATATAAACTTTATATATTTTGTATATTAATCCCTTGCCAAGCTGTTGTTGCAAATATCATCTCCAATTCGATTGGTTGCCTTTTTGTTTTGTTGGCAGTTTCTTTTGCTGCGCAGAAGCATTTTAGTTAGATATACTCCCATTCATTTATTTTTGCCTTTACTTTCCTTGCCTGTAGGAAGATAAAACTATCTCTGAGACCAAGGACCATAAACTTAGCACCTATGTTTTCTCCTATGTAACTTCCTGTTTCAACTCTTACATTTAGACTAGAGGCCAAGTGCACAAAATTCATGCAAGGGATGGGGAGGGGCGTCTCTCAGCCTGGCCTACCCCCTCTTGTAATCTGGGACCCCTCGGGGGATGTCTGACTGCCAGTTTAGGCCCGATCCTACAGGGAAAGCCCAATCTCGCAGGAATCCCCGCGGGATCAGGCCTAAACTGACAGTCCGACATCCCTTTCACAATCTGGGATTGCTGCCTCCTAACTGCCTGCCTGTCTGATTGCCCCTAACTGCTTGCCTGCCTGCCTGATTGCTCCTAACTGCCTCTGCCTTGGCCCCTGCCACCACGGCTTCGCCCAGAAAGATGTCCAGAAAGTCGTTTGGCTGTCCAATCTAATTAGCATATTATGCTTTTATTATTATAGATCTTTGATCCATTTTGAATTAATTTTTGTATAAGGGGCAAATAGTAACCTAGTTTCATTCTTTTGCATGTAGCTTTCCAATTTTCCCAGCACCGTTTATTGAAGAGGCTTTCTTTTCTCCATTGTATATTTTTTACTTCTTTGTCAAAAATCTTTTGCCCATATACATGTGGTTTTATTTCTGGGCTCTCAATTCTTTTCCATTGGTCTGTGTCTGTTTTCTGTCAATACTATGTTGTTTTTATTATTGTAGCTCTGTCATATAATTTGAAGTCAGGAGTGTGATATCTCCAACTTCATTCTTTTTTCTCAGGACTGCTTTGGCTATTCTGGGTTTGTGATTCCATACCAATTTGATGATATCATTTTTTAAAATTTATTCTTATTGATTATAAAGAGAGAGAAAGGAAGAGATAGAGAGAGAGAGAGAGAGAGAGAGAGAGAGAGACCACTGTTTGTTTGTTTTTGTTTCACTTATTTATGCATTCATTAGTTGATTCCTGTATGTGCCCAGACTGGATCAAAACCACAACCTCGCATACCAGGATGACACTCTAATCAACTGAGCTACCCAGCCAGGGCCAACTCTCCTGATATTTTGTTCTATTTCTTTAAAAATGAAAGGCAGTGAGGAGATTAAGCAGAAACACACACACACACACACACACACACACACACACACACACACACACACATTTTTTAAATTCAATAAAAACAGCAGGATAAGAAGGACACAAACAGATACTTGTATACCACAGCAGCATTAATTGTAATAGTCAATAAGTGGAGACAACACATACGTCCATCAACTTATGAAAGGAGAAACAAAATGTGATATTATCCATATAATGGAAAGTTATTTGGCATAAAAATGTATGAGATACTGATATTTGCTACATGCATGAACTTTGAAAGCATCATACTAAAAAGCTAGATGCATAAAAGGACACATGTGGTATAATTCCATTTATATTAAATGTCCAGAAGAAGCAAATTTATAGACAAGGAAAGCAGATTAATGGTTGACAGCAGGGCGCAGGAGTGGCGGAAGGGACAAATGGAGAGGGACTGCTCACTGGGGCAAGGTTTCTTTTTGGAGTGATGAAAGTGTTCTGGAATTAGATCATGATGATGGTTGCACAACAATGTGCGTATACTAAAGCCCTAAACTATGTTCTTTAAAA